GAACTCATGGACCGCGAGATCGTGACCTGGCTGAAGTCGGACGCTTAACCGACTGCGCCACCCAGGCGCCCCAAATCGGTATTTATTCTTAAAGATAGTTCTCTAGGCTAGCTTAGTACCAACAGAAGCCCTTCCCTTCTAGTTTAAAATTTAGAACCACTGAGAGGTGCCTGGGTGGCTCAGTCAGTTAAGTGTCTGACTTCAGCTCAGGTCATGATCTCGCGGTTCGTGAGGTCAAGCCTCATATCAGCCTCCGTGCTGACAGCTCAGAGCCTGGTCTGCCTCTCTCTCTTTCTCTCTCTCTCTCTCTCTCTCTCTCTCACACACACACACACACACACAGACAAATAAGTAAACATTACAAAAATATTTTAAAATTTAGAACCACTGAAATTTTAAAGAAACGTTCTTTCAAGATACTGGTTTTATCTTTAGATTATTTGTCTTTTTCCTTGAATTACTTGTCCTTATATTCACCAACAATCAAAACTTCCATTCCAGAAGTTATTTAGTGGACTCTACTTTAGGGGAGAAGTAAAATCCTCCGTATGAGAGGAGTTAAGGGAGGATTTTCCTAATTCTCATAAGAGGCAAGTAGCATTTTTTCATAATTTTTACCTCTGTAGAGGTATTTTTAAAAAATATTTTCCTTGGCCATTTATTACTTGTCATTTGGAAGTACATGTGGGAATCTGAGCTTGGCTTAAAAGAGAAGTATTGATTTTCCCTAAAGGAGATAATTTAGGTTCAGCTGCAGTAACAGCAGGTTCTGATATTTTTATATTCGTACTCAGGCACCTGACATTTAGGTTGTATTCGAATATAGAGTTGTAAATATAACATGAACTAGTTATCACACAGCTCTTAAATACTGAGATCTAATTACTTCTTTCCAAGTTTAACAACTCTACTTGGTCAAGGTTCTGAACAGTTAGCTTCTTGAGAAAGGCACGAAATCTTACCTTCCCAAATTATGGCCATGAATAGTTTCCACTGAGTGATTAAAAAAAAAAATTGTGTTTAGATGCCTGGGTGGCTCAGTCAGTCAGTGGAGCATCAGACCCTTGACTTCGGCTCAGGTCATGATCTCACGGTTCATGGGTTGGAGCCCCACATCTGGCTCCATGCTGTCAGCTTGGGATTCTTTCTCTCTCCCTCTCTCTCTGCCACCCCCCATGCTTGCTCTCTCTCTCTCTCTTTCTCTCTCTCTGTCAAAAAAACCCAAAAACAAGCAAACAAAAAACAGAACAAACAAACAAAAAACTCAAAGTAGCTGAAACAGTAAGAGATGAATGGCTATCATGACTGACTGCTTAGAGGTAGGGTTGGCTTCAAGGGTGGTTTGACTCAGTTACTCACCAATGTCATCCAAAACCAGGTTTCCTTCTGCACCTGTCTGCCCTTGTCAATGCCAGCTTTACTTCCAGTGGCCCTGCTTTGGCCATCCACAGCTGCCTGCTCCCATTCATATCTAAGGAAAGAGAAAAAAAATGGTCATCCAAAATTCTTCCAGAAGACAGAGGACACTTCCCTCCCAGAAATGCCTCAGCAGACATGGTCTGCAGGCTTACTGCCCACCCCTGATGCAGTAAGTCAGGCCACAGAAGGGGACCCCAATTGTCACTTTAGGCCCAAGCTACATGCCCCATCTCAGTAACCGGAAGTGAAATCAACTGCCCCCTAGTAAATGAGCTGCATGCAGGAGGTACGGACACCCGTGTAAAACCCAGGGCTCTTGAAGGGAAGGAAGACAGTATCAGCTGCAGCAGGAGGGCGGAAGGGATATACACTATTTCATAGACCTGACTGTATATGGGGAACTCTGGAACCAAATTGCTTAAGTTTGAATCCAGGCCCTCCTGCTTGTTAGCTGCATGACCGTGGGCAAGTCGCTTGTCTTCTCTTGTCAGGTAACAAATGGGTCAGTGATGTGCTTCATCGCTCATATCGGCGTTTTTCTAAAATCCACGACATTAGGGAGCCCGGGTGGCTCAGTCGATAAGCATCTGACTTCGGCTCAAGTTATGATCTCACAGTGGTGAGTTCAAGTCCCACATCGGGTGAGCACCAGCCCAGCTTCGGGTAAAAACACGAGCCCTGGGTGAGCCCCGCTTCTCTCTCTCTCTCTTTCTCTCTCCCTCTCTCCCTCCCTCCCTCTCTCTCTCTCTGCCCCTCACTCACTTGTGCCCTCTCTCTCTTTAAAAGGAGTAAATAAGTAATAAAATCCATGACATTTCACCGAGATTCATCATATTCTTCCTTTGTGATAGGCATTTAGAATTAGAAAGAACACAAAAGTGAACCAAATAATGTTCTACTTCAAAGAGCTAACAACTCAGGAGAGGAAATAAGAGGGTAGAAATTGTAGTAAAAGAAGGGATAAATTACATTAAAAAGATGTGTTTCCTAAAATGCATTCTCTTCTTTTTTAATTTTTTTAAAGTTTATTTATTTGCTTTGAGAGAGAGAGAGCACAAGCAGGAGAGGGACAGAGAGAGAGAGAGAGAGAGAATCCTAAGCAGGCTCCATACTGTCAGCACAGAGCCAGATTCGGGGCTTGAACCCACAGATCCCTAAGATCATGACCTGAGCCGAAATCAAGAGTCAGAGGCTTAACCAACTGAGCCACCCAGGCACCCCATAATGCATTGTTTTTTCTAATTAAATAGCCTTTAAGAACAAGCATGTTTTTTAGTGTTTTACAAATCCTATACGAAACTGATATAATTTTTTTCCGGATAGCCATTCATTAATGAGAAATGTCAACAGTAATTAATAATCAGACAATAAACCTACCAAAAATCAACAAGGAGTAACCAAATTTCAGCTATAAAGTGTATAAAATACAATGTTCTCCATTCCCTAATATTAAAGAAAATGGAGAGGAGCAAGCAGAGGTGAGGACGTTCAAAACTCACTGGACTCTTTCCTTGGAAGTATAATCGTGCTTACAGGAAGTATGTGACAATTGGAGACTCTGTGACTGTGACGTCACAAAACGACCCTCACCGTGGAAACTTAGGAAGTTGCCATTTCCGGGCCTCGAGTCTGGCCCAGCTCTTGCCGAGGGTGGGAATGGACAGATTCCCTTGGTCCTAAAGAGTTTATTCTCTTGGAGCAAAACTGGAGCTAAGAGTTTGCGTTTTAAACACCCTTAATGGGCAAACAGTATGTCAGCAAAGCAACTCAGTAGCATCACCCTTAGGGGGAGCTACTGCGCCTCTCGCTCGCGGGGGTGACCTCCCTCCCTCAAGGCCGGGTGGGCCCCAGGGCTCCACACAGCTCGCAGCCACTGCTTTCCTTTCAACCCCAAGCCCTCAGAATTGTAAACACTGTCCTCTTTACTGAATGTTTTCCCTTTGTTAAAAACTAGAGTCATAGTAAGGTAACAGTCCTGCGGGGCGGAATAGTCCAGCTAAATTAACACCAGGTGGAAGGTGCATATTGCCTTTGCTCCAAAAGAGCAGAGAAAAATGTTCACCGCCATTTGCATTCACTGATACTCCGGGTAACTTCTTGATAGCCTTTTGGCAATTCATGAATAAAATTTGCAGGGCAGGGGAGACAGGTAATGTTCGTGAGCACCTAAGATCTTTAAAATGGAACCCACAGCACAGAAGCTAACTGGCATTATTTCTGCCAAGCTGTGAGAGCCCGGGGGGGGGGGGGGGGGGACAGAGCTGGTCCTGTTCTGGGTCCCCGGTGCGTGGCTCGGATTAATACCTCAATAAGCGTATGCCGAGTGGAGTTCAATTTTGCCAGAAGGCTTGCAAACCAACCCAGAGTAGATGTGACCGAGAAAACAATGACGTGAGAGATACAAATGGGAGGACTGAAGTGGAGCCTGGAGAAGATTTACAACTGAAACGTGATCTCAAGAAGGGAGTGTCTAGGCAGAGGTCCCTCAGAGCCAACAACCACGACCGGTGTGGGGGGAAAAGAAAAAGTCCACAGCATTCCGGAAGTGAGAATTGCAAAAGATCATCCCGGTCCTCTTGAGTCAACCCTTGATCTTACAGGTGAGAAGAGAGAACGAGGTCCCCAGAGGGAAGCCACTTGCCAGAGTCTCTTAGCTGACTACAGGCAAAGGCGAGACCATGAATGATTTCATCCCGGGGTGAATCCCAACTCCATGTAACAGAGGCCACCTCACCCATCCCGGGCATGGAGGACAGGCCTGGCTTGTCAGCAGAGAGCCTTCTTGAAAAACCAAGCGCCAGCTCAGAGTTCACGTCGGAGTTTCACTGATCATTTCCGGGGCTAGGGCAAATGGCTCAGCGTCCAGTTAGAAATGCAATAAAATTGGGGCCCCTGGGTGGCTCCGTCGGTTGACCGTCCAACTGCATTCAGCTCAGGGTGTGATCTCAGGGTTCGTGCGCTCGAGCCCCGAATCCGGCTCACTGCTGTCTGCATGCAGCCCGATTTGGATCCTCTGTCCCACTCTCTCTCTCCATTTCCCCCACTCATGCACTCTCAATCTCCCTCTCTCTCTCTCTCAAAAATAAACATTTTTTTTTAAAAAAAGAAATACGATACAATAAAAAAAAATAACACTTTATCCGTTAGAAATAAGGAAACAGTGAGTCTCCCCCCATTCCCCGTGTGCCCTGACTCACCAAAGTCCGTTGCAGGAGATCATGGCCAGAGCCCCCTACAGAGAAAGAAAAGGCCAAGAGAGAGCCTAGTTTCTCAAAACTCTTCCTTTAGGTCTTTCGAGGATTCTGGGCTCCAGAGTTTCTAAAAGACCTAGATTATTAGAAATGCTTTGATGGGGTAACGCAAGTTGAAATCAGAAGGCGTGTGAACGAGGAAGGAAGATATTGCCAGACACACGTATGAGATTCATCAAAATCCCAGAGTGAAAAAGGGATGCCATTTAGCAAAAGCCAACCACCCTCTCAGCCTCGTCATGTGATTCCTCACATTCTCGTTCCAGCGTATACTTTTTTGTAAATGTTTATTTATTTATTTATTGAGAGAGAGAGAGAGAATAAGAGCAGGGGAGGGGCAGAGAGAGAGAGAGAGAGAGAGAGAGAATCCCAAGCAGGCTCCATGCTGTCAGCACAAAGCCTGACATGGGGCTTGAACTCACAAACTGTGAGACCATGACCTGAGCCACAATCCAGAGTTGGGCACTCAACCGACTGAGCCACCCAGGTGCCCCCCGATGCATACTTTAAATATCTACAACAAACTCCTAAGCTGTACGGTGAACAACAACCTGTCAGATGGTCATTTTTTAACAGACACTGAAGCAAATAAATGCATGGCTCCTGCTTCCATTCATACACTCAATCTATCATTCAATCCTGAATTGATGAGCCATTTATCAAGTGATCAGTGTATCAGGCACTGCGATTCTAAGCTTTTAAGATAACAAACAATCCTTCCCTCCCGGACTTCCAATTCCAGACAGGATGATAGAGAAGAAACCAAATTACGACTTTGCGATGAGAAAGTGCTTTAATAGCAGGATGACGGCAAGGTCAAGGGAGAACTGAGGAGTGAGGGAATCCTCTCTGATAATACGTGGGGATGTTCACTCAATTAGATTTCTGGGGCCGAAGACTCCCTGTTGACTCATTTCATAAACTAACAGTCATGCAATTTTCTCTCTAATGGTAAAACCTCCAACAACGTTAATTCCAAATTCGCCGGGTTGGTACTTAATAAACACTTGTAGAATTGAATTTTGTCTCTCCCTCCCTCCCTGACCTTCTACCTCTTTCAACCTAACAAGACCCTTGTTTAACTTGCTAGCCATAAGAAAATGCCCTTGCAAATTAGCAAGATCATACATTACAACCTGAAGTAAATAGATTTCCTTATATGGTCGGAAAGCTGGAAATACAGGTCAGCTGTTCTCCAGTTAACAGAAGAGTCTTCCAAGATGGTTACATACGTTTTTAAAATCTGTTGTTGAATCCTAGAACAGGGGGAATTTGGAGATGACATAGACCGACTTTCCTATTTTTGCACAAGTATACTGAGACCTATACTGATTGAATGAAATAGCCAAGCTCATAAAATTAGCATTAGAAGGTACCTGGCAACCTTTAATTATTGTTGTCACAGAACTCATAGTCACTGCCTTCCATTTACTCAAGGTTTTAGAGCCGTCAACAAGAGCATTCTTGGGGATTCTTGGGGATTCTTGGGGATACTCCATATGGAAGTTACATTTAACTCATCAGCCTACGAAGCTTTGACTCGTCACCAGCAAGGATCTGGTTCCAGCTCACCTCGGCCACAACCCTCTCCGTGCTCGGCCCCTAGTCCCAATCACTACCAACAAGGGCATCTCATCTAAAACCCCACTTTCAGACACCCCACCTACCTCCCACCGGCTCGCTCTCCCACACCCCAACTCCAGCAGTGTTTGACTCTATTGGCACATCATTTCCATTGTTCGTTCCCCCTCTCACAGCCTCACTTTTCTTCACACTCGGCTCAAATTCCGTGATCGACATG